CCTTCCGCTGGTTCACCCCCCATGGCTGCTGCGGCCAGTGTGCTGCACAGATCTGAAGCCAGGAGCCAGGTGCTTCCTCCTGGTCTCCCATGCGGGTGCAGGGCCAAGCACTTGGGCAATCCTCCACTGCCTTCCTGGGCCACAGCAGAGAGCTGGACTGGAAGAGGAGCAACTGGGACAGAACTGGCGCCCCAACCAGGACTAGAACCTAGAGTGCCGACGCCGCAGGTGGAGGATTAGCCTAGTGAGCCACAGCACCAGCCTAGTTTTCTTATAATACACACATTCCATGAAATTTTTTGAAACCATATATTCTTAATATATGTTAGTTAATACACAGTATCTTATATGAGAATATTACAGTTTCATTTTAACATGTTTTTATTCTTCCTATTACATAATAAAATAAACATACATGTATAAGTAGTAAAAACATTTGCTACTATGCCCCTAAAATCATTTCACTCATCACTATGAACATCCATACCATGCACTGGGAAACTCCCAAGGGATCTATTAAAGGATTTAAAATCTGGAAGAGACATATCAGGTTTATATTTTAGGCTTCTAGAAGCTGATCTCCTGGTATAAGAGGGAAAGAAAGGAAGGAATGTGATGGGCTAGCAGCTCTAGTCAACAATAATTCAAAAAAAGCTCTGTGAGCTTAGAACTACTTTTTAAATTGCCTTCAAATAAAAGATAACGTAAGATCATGAAATACCCTGTAGAGTTTAATGTAATGTCATTTTCTCTCTAAATGATGAAGTCTTGTCACTGGGACAGGCTGCATATGAAACAGTGCCTATAAACAAGCAAAATACTTGCTCGACTATAGTCAGAGATAATTTTTCTGGGAGTCCAAAAACCAGAAGCATCCAAAAATGAACTTATTACAAAAAGATTAAGAAAACACGCAATTGAATGACATTACTCTGGTGATAATTGTCTGAGGTAGTGGTCTGTAGGGATGGTGTCATCTGGTGAAAGAAGAACGATGAGTTGGCAATGTCACGGTGGTCCAACCCATTGGAGACACATCATTGACATCACAGCATTCCCTCTGTGCTTGGGGGTGTTGCAGCATTAGTGATTGTTTACATGTGCTGGTAAGTTTTAAAGCACTAAATTGAAAATGTGAAAATGTAGGCTACATGATTAAAATCTACTGTATTCAATTCCCAGCAAGCTGTACTCATCTGTTTGTGATAGAACCCTGGAGAAGGTAGAAGACAACTGTCCCACTGGGTGGTGGGAATGCTTTGTGGGGATTCCCAATCTGGGATACATTAGTTGTGGAATTCTCCTTTCCAGAAAGGGAGACTAAAAAGCTACGCAGGTGGAACACAACTGCACAATAAGTTGGCATCAGTGTCAGAATCAGAACTTGAATCTCTTCAGACTCATTCGTTTTTGGAAGCAAAGGTCTTCAAACGTGAATAGTTAATATGAAGAGCTTTTAAGCACTTTCTTAAAATTGCAGCAAACAGAACTGTTTTTCTTTACAATGCTTTAAAATTCAAGGTATCCTGGAGTCAGGCCTGGCCCCTGCTGGAGATACAGGCCACTGAGAGCCACATTCTGCTTCCCACAGATGGGGGCATAACATTTCCTCCTATTGGCCCCAAATCTGGGCTTCTATCATGGCACTGACATGACCCAACACTACATAAAGGTCCCAGCCTTTAAGGCCTAAAAAGACAGCCTTTGAAGTAACATCTCATGTCATCATTAAAGCAATTGCAATAGGAATAGTACTCTTAAACAGAGACTGAGTTAGCGTTTTCACACTTGACAACCTAGGTCCATGTATACACAAATGAAGATGAAGGTTATTTTTCCTTTTCCTGTGCCCCAGGCCTCAACTACCTTGAGACTGACCAATCACTTTGCCATCAATCATTTCTTTATTTGTAATTGGAAGCCCAAGTCCACATCTCCTGAGACTCTCTCATTGGCCCAAGTAAATGTGGTTTAGTTCTCCTCATGGTTACTCATTCTCTTTCCTGCTCCTCAGCTGTTCTTCTCTCCTACATGCTGGCCTATTTTTTTCTATTGATTTATTCAGGTAGAGAGATACAGAGGGAGAGGGAGAGAGACTCAGAGAAATGGAAAGACAAATAGAAATCTTACATTCACTGGTTCACTCTCCAAATAGCCTCATGGCCACTGCTGAGTCAGGACAAAACCAAGAGCAAGGAACTCAGTGTAGGTCTCCCACATGGATGGCAGGGACCTAAATAATAAAGCCAACACCTGCTGTCTTCCAGGAAATACATTAGCAGAAAACTGGAATTGGAAGCCAGAAGCTGAGACTTGATCCAAGGCATTCCAATGTGGGACACAGTTGCCTTATCATTAGACCAAATGCCCACCCTGTCCATGGCTGTTTGATGCTTCTGCCTATACACAGACTCTCCTGGTTTTGGTACCAGGATGCTTTCTCCATATCCACCAGGTATTAGACATGGCAGTCACGGTTCCTGTTAAGGGCCATCACCTTATTCAACCCCTGCTGAAAAGACCACCTTACCTAGCCACCTTTTGCATCATTTAACCCCATCCTCAACTCGGCCACAACGGATGTGATCAGAGGCAGACACTTCATTCACAAATAGTTCAGTCTGCATTTAATTAGTCCTGGTACAAAAATAATCTAGATTCTCTACGATCATGAAGAAAAGTAATCCATGACAAAAAACAAAAGATAAGGGGGCACAGCAGAGTTTTCAAGGCATGATCCAAAGGGTCTTTTGAGTTTTGCGGAGGTAAAATGGGGCCTGGTTTAGGGAGGAGGGGCTGCTTGAGCAGGAAGGAGCCAGGCCTCCTTGACACTTTATTCACTGCAGGTCAACTTTTTTGTTAAAAGATTTATTTATTTATTTGAAAGGCAGAGTTAGAGAGAGAAAGAGAGGAAGAGAGAGAGAGAATAAGAGGTCTTCTATCCAATGGTTCACTCCCCAATTGGTCGCAATGGCTGGAGCTGTGCCAATCCAAAGCCAGGAGCCAGGAGCTTCTTCCAGGTCTCCCACGCGGGTGTAGGGGCTAAAGGACTTGGGCCACCTTCTGCTTTCCCAGGCCACAGAAGACAGCTGGATCAGAAGTGGAGCAGCCGGGACTTGAACTGGTGCCCATATGGGATGCCAGCACTGCAGGCAGCAGCTCTACCCATGAGGCCACAGTGCAGGCCCCTGCAGTTCAACTTTTATCTCCATTAAATATAAGATGTTTCCTGAGGAAAGATTTTCATTACTTTAAAGGGTTTGAGGGGTGGGCATCTGAGTGCTGGCTATACCATTGCTAATCCAGCTCCCTGCTAATATGCCTGAGAATTACTTAAATCCATGCCACCCATATGGGAGACCAGGATGGAATTCTGGGCTTCTGGTCTTGGTCTGGCCCAGCTCTGGCTGTTACGGGCATATGGAGAGTGAACCAGCAAATGGAAGTGCTCTCTCTCTCTCTCTTTCTCATTACCTCTCTACCTCCCTCCCTGTCAATATCCCTTTCAAAAACATAAATATATTTTTGGTAAAAAAAAAATTTGAAAACACTAACGAGGAAAAACTGGAAACACAGCAGGTTTAGGAAGCTTGATAACAGACACCTACCAGATGGTGGTGGTCCTGGGAGAACTGCTGAGTCACACAAGTGTGGAATACCTGGGAAGATCCATGCACATGCACTTCTGCTCTCCCTACGCTCAGCTCTTCTGAGGTCCTGGCTCCTGGCTCGTCCTGGGTCCCTGGGCCTGTGGATCCTTAAGAGTAGACGGCTACCAGGCCACCCCCCAGCTCCTGCAAGACTCCATCACTTAAGGCAGCTGAGCAAGCTTTTGGTTCTTACATCAAAAGAACTCTGTTGAAAAACATCTGTGGGGGTTTGCCATGTTGAAAAAATAATTTGTCCTAGAAAGTTCATAGCTCTTTGGGTCTACAATTGGAGGACACGACCCTTGCATGATTATTGAGGTATTTCAGGATGTACAAACCTTGGTTTTGGTGTTTTTTGTTTTTTGCCTTTTTTCCCTGAATTTTACAATCTGTTAGATCAAGAGTTTAGATTTTTCCAAGTCTCAGGGTCAAGGAGGGTTAAAGAATATGCTGTGGTGAATCCCCCAGAGATCAATGTGCAGGGGGCTCAGCCCCAGTATGGTGGGCATAGGACAGTGGATACCTGGATTGTGGCGGCTCCATCCTCATAAATAGAGCTGCCTCAGTGGAATGAATCAGATCTGGTAAAAGGGGATTCCTTCCCATGAGAGGGGTCATTATAGAAAGAATGAACCTGGCAATCTCTTTGGTCTTTTGCCTCTTTGCTTGCACACAAGCCTCTTCTGCATGCAGCCTGTTCTCTTCTTGCTTTTCCATCATGCTATGAAGAAGCCAGTGAGACCTCATCGGGATGACAAGGTCATGCTATTTCAGATTTTCCTGCAACCTTAGTAGTGGAGCCATGGAATCTCTACTTTATAAACTACCCAGCCTCAGGTATTTTGGTATAAAAATTCAAAATAGTCTAAGACAAGTATCTCTCACTCTTGCTTTCTTTTTTAAAAAAACATTAATTAATTAGCTAATTTGAAAGGCAGAGTGACAGACAGACAGACACACACACACACACACATAGGGAGGGTGGGAGGCAGGGAGGGAGATAGGGAGGTAGGGAGGCAGGGAGGGAGGGAGGGAGAGAGAGAGAAAGAAAGAGAAGAGAGAGAAATACAGAGGTTTTCATCAGCTGGTTCATTCCCCAAATGACCACACAGCCAGGTTTGGCCTGGGCCAAAGCCAGGAGCCTGGAACTCCACTCAGGTCTCTCACATGTGTGATAGGAGCCCAAGCACTTGGACCATCTTCCACTGTCTTTCCAATTGCATTACCAGGACACTGCAATGAAGTGGAGCAGCTGAAACTTGAACTGGCACTCAGATACAGATGGCCGGCATAGCAAAAGGCAGTTTAACCTACTGCAGAACAACGCCAGTCTCTCTCACTCACTCTTGCTTTTTTTTTTTTTTTTAACTTTTATTTAATGAATATAGATTTCCAAAGTACAGCTTATGGATTACATTGGCTTCCCCCCACCCCTCAATGACTTCCCTCCCACCCGCAACCCTCCCCTTTCCTGCTCTCTCCCCCCTTCCATTCATATCAAGATTCATTTTCAATTTTCTTTATATACAGAAGATCAGTTTAGTACGCATTAAGTAAAGATTTCAACAGTTTGTACCCCACACAGAAACATAAAGTGAAAAATACTGTTTGAGTACTCGTTATAGCATTAAATCTCAATGTACAGCACATTAAGGACAGAGATCCTGCATGAGGAGTAAGTGCACAGTGACTCCTGTTGTTGACTTTACAAACTGACACTCCTGTTTATGGCATCAGTAATCTCCCTATGCTCCAGTCATGAGTGTCACTCCCCCTCTTCACGGAGGAACGACACAGGACCCTGCGCTGTTCTTTCGTCTGCTCGGCCCTTCCCGGGTTTGCTGCTGGTTCTTCCCGGGTTGGCTACCGACCCTTCCACCTCCATGGAAGGGCGGTTCCCCCTGCCACTTTCCCCACTTCCGCGGGGGAGCAGCACACCACTGGCCGGCTCTCTCGGGGGCTGCTCAGATGTTCCTCAGGTGTTCCTGGTACATGTTGTCTCTCTCCTCCTTTATAGTCCTCTTCCACCAATCCCAACTCTGCTACCCACACGCCAAGTACGCTGCTCTCCTCCAATCAGGAGCAGCTCCTGCAGCTTGTCAAGTTGGTGAGAGGCAGCTGGGTAGAAGCTGTTTACTCCTCTCCCAGCGCCATATTGTGGGAGAGCAGATGCATAGAATAAGTCTTAATTCCAGTAACTTAGTCTAGTCCGAGTTGCTCCCCACAATGAGTTTCCAAGGCTATGGAAGCCTTTTGAGTTCACTGACTCTTATCTTATTTAGACAAGGTCATAGTCAAAGTGGAAGTTCTCTCCTCCCTTCAGAGAAAGGTACCTCCTTCTTTGAAGACCTGTTCTTTCCACTGGGATCTCACTCACAGAGATCTTTCATTTAGGTGTGTGTGTGTGTGTTTTTGTTTTTTTTTGTTTTTGTTTTTGTTTTTTGTTTTTTGCCAGAGTGTCTTGGCTTTCCATGCCTGAAATACTCTCATGGGCTTTTCAGCCAGATCCGAATGGCTTTAGGGCTGATTCTGGGGCCAGAGTCTCACTCTTGCTTTCTAAAACCTTCCTCTTTCATGCCAACTGGGCCAAATACGGGTGAACAAGGGGCATGAGGAGAGGTACTGGTACAGCTAGGACCACTCCTCACCATGAGATGCAGGTGCTGCTCTTGGTTATTTCCTGCTGTTTCTTCAACACTTCATCCTTGTACTTACTGCACAACAAGGATTGAATAGGCATCTTTTTTTTTTTTTTTGACAGGCAGAGTGGACAGTGAGAGAGAGAGAGAGAAAGGTCTTCCTTTTGCCGTTGGTTCACCCTCCAATGGCCACCACAGCCCGCGCGCTGCAGCCGGCACACCACGCTGATCCGATGGCAGGAGCCAGGTACTTCTCCTGGTCTCCCATGGGGTGCAGGGCCCAAGCACTTGGGCCATCCTCCACTGCACTCCCTGGCCACAGCAGAGAGCTGGCCTGGAAGAGGGGCAACCGGGACAGAATCCGACGCCCCGACTGGGACTAGAACCCGGTGTGCCGGCGCCGCAAGGTGGAGGATTAGCCTAGTGAGCCGCGGCGCCAGCCTAGGCATCTTTCTTGATAAATCAAGTAACAATACAGGTAAAATTCTTTTTTTCCAGGACAGCCTTCTTACTTCTGAGAAATCTTTTATTTTTATCCAAGAGTTTTAATTAGGGCCAGCATAGCAGTGTAGCAGGTAAAGCCACTACCTGCAATGCTGGCATCCCATATGGGTGCCATTTCATGTCCTGGCTGTTCCATTTCCAACAAGCTCCCTGCTAATAGCCTGGGGAAAGCAACAGAAGATGATCCAAGTGCTTGGGCCCCTGCTACCCACATAAGAGACCTGAAAGAAGCTCCTGGCTCCTGGCTTTGGGTTTGGCTTGGCCCAGCCCTGGCCATTGCAACCATCCACAGAGTGAACCAGTGGATGGAGATCTCTGTCTCTGCAACTCTGACTTTCAAATAAATAAATAAAACTGTTTTTAAAAAAGAGTTTTAATTAATTCAATAACAGAAGTTCCAATAGAGAATTATCTTTCTGTAAGGCATTAGGTTAACTATGGAAATAAGATGCCTGGTGACCTGCCTGACATCCCAGCACCCCCTGAGATAGGATGTGAACTAACTATCCCCTGGTAACTCTATTAATTTTTTAATGACCACCTAAGTTTAACAGTCTCTATATAATTTTCATAAAATTATGCTAATTCTGAGACCTAAGCATTTCAAATTCAATAAAAGTTAATTGCCTATATTTTCACTTCTAAAAACCCACACTGAGATAATAGTCATGGATAAAAATATTCACAGCAGTTAACAGAATTACTTGAGCAATTATTTAATGCAATGAAAAAAAATCCCTTAAATTAAAAAGTTAAAGAGACGGGGACCTAGAGTGCTTTCTCTCTCTCTCTCTCTTCTCTCTCTCTCTCTCTCTCTCTCTCTCTCTGAGACACACACAAAGAGACAGAGTCAGAGAGAATTCCCATCCTCTGGCTTATTCACCAACAGCCAGTAATGGGCCAGGCCAGAGGCAGGAGCTAGGAATTCAATCCAGGTCTTCCCCACAGGTGGCAGGAACTCAGTAACTGGAGCCATCGCTTACTGCCTCCCAGGATGCACATCAGCAGGAAGCTGGAATTGGGTGCTGGAGCTGGAATCCAAGTCAAGGCACTGGGATCTGGGATGGGGACATCTTCACTGTTAGAACAAATGCATGCCCCCAGAACAGTCATTTTTAAGACAATATTGAAAAGATGTGACTTCACTACACTACAACACTTCTGTAAATCAAACAAGTGGATCAGTGTCAAAACAGGCAAAGTCAGAAAATGGCAGCCATTGGTTCCTTGCCATTGCCACTACCCAAGGTTTACCAGCAGTTCTGAATGATTATAAACAAGTAGCTTTCTCTTTAAAGAGATCTGAAACCAATTTCTTTAATTGATAAAAACCACTCCCTTAACCACAGATGTCCTCTTAGTAAAAATCTGTATGTTTTATTGACCATATAGCAGTTGTGAAACCAAATATACAAAAGAACACAGTAGAATCACATTACCTTAAATTATTTATAAACTTGTTTCTCATACTGAAATAAAAGCAAGGAAAAAGACAAAATTGCCTCACACATTAAAAAAATTCTAACACATTTTATGAATGTGAAAGGTAGAAAGACAGAGACAGACTGAGATCACCTATCTGCTGCCTCACTCCCTGAATGCCTGCAATAGCTAGGGTTATGGCAAGCCAAAACCAGGAGCCAGGAACTTCATCAAGGTCTCCCAAATCATGGCAGAGACCCAAATACTGGAGCCATTGCCTGCTGCCTCCTAGGGTGTTCAGAAGCAGAGAACAAGAAGGGTTCAGGGATGGGACTCAAACCTAGGCATTTAGATATGAGATGTGCATATCTCAAGTGGCATCTTAACCACTGCACGAACTGCCCATCCCTACCTCGTACATTTCAGAGTTTGGGGAGAGGCAGTCTAAGAGATCAATTGTTAGGTATTTCCTAATTGCATACAGATACCAAATCTCTATTATACACAGATATAAAATCTGTTTTTGACTTTTTTTCCATATTATTAAATAAACTTCTCTTTTTGGGCCAGCAGGTGCATATCATCAACATGAAAATGGAGCAAAAAGTTGTGTACAGTTTTAAAACTATACACTCTCACCAACTTAATGGTTTTGCTCATAATTCAACTGGTTTATAGTACTGATTAATGTTTTTTTAATGCTTCATTTATTTACTTGAAAGTCAGAGTTACAAAGAGAGAGGGAGAGATAGAACAAGAGGTTTTCCATCCACTGGTTCCCTCCCCAGACGGCCGCAAGGGTCACGGCTGGGCAAGGCCAAGCTAGGAGCCAGGAGCTTCTTCCAGGTTTCCCATGTGGGTTGTGGGTAGCAGCAGCCCAAATACTTGGATTATCTGCCACTGTTTTTCCCAGGCCATTAGCAGAGATCTGGATGGGAATTGGAACAGCCAGGACACAGACTGATGTTCATAAGGGATGCTGCTGTCACAGGTGGTAGCTTTACCAACTACACCACAATGCTGGCCCCTGATTAATGGTTTTAATCTTTTAATTTAAAAGAAGCAAAATCAAGGAGAAGACTTGCCATATTATTTAGAAATGTTTGATTACTTGAGGAGGCAACAGCAGTGTTTAATCACTGGCAGATCAAAAGTGACTTTCACTGTCAGGTATTCAGTCAACAAATATTTGCTGAGCTTCTATGTGAGAGAGATCTGAAGCAAAGCGACATGAACCAGATGTATTCTCTGCCTCCCACTTCCCTTCTGTGTGGGGTATCTAAGATACAAATCTGATTAACCACAATGTGAAACAGAGAGTGCCAAGTACCCTCGAATATAAAGGAAGAATTGCTTGGGAATTTAGGGAAGAAACGGGAGAGCTTCTCACTGGACAGGACAGGACAGGACAGGACAGGTTTTTGGAAGAGGCCAACCTTCAGTGTAAAAAACACTGGAGTTCAACAGGTGGAGGCAGAAAGCTCCATCAGTCAGGGAGGCCAGCACAAGCAAGGCACTAGGGAAGACAAGGCAGCTGTGGAAGAGGCCAAGTTTGCCAAAAACGCAGTGCAGATAAAGGACAGCGCTTGGATTCAAGTCTGAAAGAAAATCTACTGAAGTGAAACCGGACGTATTTTAAATGCCATGCTGGGGAGGGGTAACTTCACTAAGTGGGGCGTTGCTGAAGGGTCTTGAGGCAACGAGTGGTCTAAATGATGTGGTTTCAGGAGCCTGATCTGGCAGCAGTACACAGAATATATTAAAGAGGAAGGTGGAAGGCCAGGAGAGCATAGCTGTGGTCTCAGTGAAGAGACTGAGAACAGCTGTGGGGGTGGGGGAACACAAGCATGGAGACACACAGGGCTATGGCAGGCAGGGTGGCAAAGGGCCTGCTACATGTGACTCACCAGAGTCCTTCAAAGAGTTCACAGAACAATGGAATTTGCTGTTTTGGTGCAAATATTTCAGAAATTCATGCATAGATTTTTTTTTTTTACTAATACAGACATTCCAAGAACTTTATGGAGTCCCCTTGTGCACAGGAGGAGCACCCATGCTGCTTGGCTTGCCAGTCTAAGTTTATGTTTTTTTGGTTGTCATGGAATAATTACTCAGAATGGCCACCTTCACCCTGGATGTATTCTGGCTTGGATAACGCATTACACAAGCATGTTTGATATACTTTTCCCCTTTTCCTCCTCAAGACAATCCTCCAGTTTACCCATGAAGAAGCTGAAGGTCTGAGAAATGAGTTGCCTAACGGCACCAGTAGCAGACAGGGACTGGATGTGAGCACAGATCATTGCAGTCCAAACCTGTGGACTTTCTACTGTACCTGGTTTCCGGCCCCTGACTTAAGGGTAGGTTACAGAGGGCAAAGAACAGAAGGAATTCATTAAAGAGATAGAGATGTCAGAATGATTAAAAGCAGGGGGGAAAGATTAGCTCTGGTTTGGATATGTGGTCTCTAAGGTACTGGAAGGACATGGAAGCAGTTGGAGATACTGGCTGGAACTCAGGAGGGAAATCACACTCTTGCTACAGAATTGTGTATCTTCCAAATGAACAGATGCAAGAGTAGAAACCCTGGGACACAATGACATGGCCAAGCATGAGACCACAGAACAAAGGTCACAGCGCAGATGCCTGCAGTGGCCAGTCAGGTGACACAAATGAGGAGGGGCAGCCACGCCATGTGAGGGAGGAGCAGGAGATGGTACAAGGGTGATCTGAATTTCCTATGGAAATTAGTTCCAATTTTAGAAAGATTAAAATTATTAAAATGGTAATCACTTCTCGAAGCTGGTGACTAATTTCTACTAGTTTAATTTAAAATAATTCACAATCTATGAAAAATTAAATGAAAATGATAAGTTGTAGTCACTCAATTTTTGTCCACTTTTTCCACTCTCAGATCAAAAGAGAGCTTTTCTAAAGTGCAATCAGTTTTTTATCAAAATTACTAGCTACCTCCAATGAAACAAAATTGCACTGTTTTTATTATCCCAAATGCAGATACCAGGGAACTTCAAAAAGTTTGAAAAAATGGAATTAAAAGATACATTTATTTTGGTGCTAAGAATTTGATATCCATGTAGATTTTTTTTTTCATAATACACATTTGCCATGAACTTTCTGAACACCCTGTGTATAACTCAAACATCAGTGCCTTGAGCATGAGGAGGAGGCAATGGGGTGGGGAGAGAGCAGTATTTCAAAAAGCAATACCCCAACTTTCTTTTTTTTTTTTTTTTTTTTTTTTGACAGGCAGAGTTAGACAGTGAGAGAGAGAGAGAGAGACAGAGAGAAAGGTCCTCCTTTTTCCATTGGTTCACCCCCCAAGTGGCCGCTACAGCCAGCCGGCTGGTGCGCTGCGCCGATCTGAAGCCAGGAGCCAGGTGTTTCCTCCTGGTCTCCCATGCGGGTGCAGGGCCCAATGACCTGAGCCATCCTCCACTGCACTCCTGGGCAACAGCAGAGAGCTGGACTGGAAGAGGAGCAACAGGGACAGAATCCGGCACCCCGACTGGGACTGGAACCTGGAGTGCCGGCGCCACAGGCGGAGGAGGATTAGCCTAGTGAACCAAGGCGCCAGCCCCCCCCCACCAACTTTCAAATTGATTTACATTATAAAAATAATAAAAATTGTCTTCATTAAAAGAAACTTTATGAGGTATAACATAAGTCAGAAATCACAGTGCTGACCCATTGAGGCAATGAAGCAATTTGACAGTTACCCATGTCTTATATTCCTTTCTCCCTTATACACAAAAGCACGCATAGATGCACTATTCTAAACAACACAGAAAACCCTCCTTATGTACAGGTCCCATATCCACAAGTTCAATCAACAATGATCTAAAATATTACTTAAGCTCTGTATTGAACATGAAAAGACTGGGGCCAGTGCTATGATGCAGCAGGTTAAATTACAGCCAGCAGTGCCAGCATCCCATAAGGGTGCAGGTTTGAGTCCTGGCTGCCCTACTTCTGATTCAGCGCCCTGCTAATGTGCCTGGGAAAGTAGCAGAGGATAGCCCAAGTCCTTCGGCCCCTGTACCCATGTGGGAGACTCAGAAGAAGCTCCTGGCTCTTGGCTTCAGCCTTGTCCTGCCCCAGCTGTTGTGGTCATTTGGGGAGTGCACCTGTGGATGGAAAAATCTCTGTGTCTCCTCTCTCTCTAACTCTGTATCTCAAAAAACAAATAAATCTTTTTTAAAAAAGAACATGCACAGACTTAAAATACTAATTTATTAATGAGAAGTTTAGTTACCAGTCTTTCACTGCCTGACTCTTTCAATGGAAAGATAACGAGCACCTGCAGCCTTCATGGGCCTACACCAGAGGTTCTTGAATTTTAGCAGCATCAGAAATGGGTTTGTTTACCTGCTGGACTCATGAAAGCAGAGAGTGCTGGGATACAACTTGACACTTTCTGGTTCCATGGGTCTGGGAGGTTGTGAGACTTTGTACCTCTAACTAGTGGCTGGGAGATGCCAACGCTGCTGGTCTGGGGACCACACTTTGAGAACTGCTGATCCGCACACCAGTGGGTGTGCTACCCAGAGGCTGACTGGCTTCTGCCTTTTTCAGAATTACCCTGGAGCACAAACATCTACCAAAGTTCGGTTTCTCATGGCACTCTGGAAAATGATTCAACAACATGGCTAAGGACAGAGGTCCAACTTTTTGCCTCATTGTCTGTGTTCTGAATCCAACCTAGTTTAATATTTTGGAAAATGTTACCCTTTTCTGTACCGAGCAAAGTAAATATTTTGTCAGTTGTTAAGGATGAGCTGCAGAGTAAGACCTAAAGATGTATCCAAATCCAGCAGGAAGCCTTGGCGCTGCCTTGGAACTTTTTCCAGATTGTGACTTGTAATGTACTTCAGAAGCCAGCAGAAATACCAACCACTCCATCTATTAAGAAAAGGCTGAATGAACCTTTTCACAGCAGAATACTTTTTTTCCACACCAATTCACATTACATTTGGCAAAGAAAGGAGGAAGGAGAGACAAAATGCTCTTCTGTCGATAGGACTTCATACAAGTATTGTTCTCACATAAAGAACTCCGTAGTGGTGAGTTTTAAACTCAGAAGAAAATTGTTGTAATCCCCTCTCTAGTTTGACAAATGAGAAAAATAAGGCTCAGAGAAGGTCAATGTGATTTTGCTACAGAACCAGGTAGTAAGAGTACTGGAGCTGGGATAAAATTCACAGTCTTGGGAGGGAGAAAAGGAGGGTTTGGCACAATAGTTAAGACCCAATTCCCATATCAGAATGTCTGTGCTAGGGTCTCAGCTCTACTTTCAGTTGCAGCTGTCTGCTACTGTGTACTTGGGAGGCAACAGGCGAAGGCCCAACTGAGTCCCTGCCACCCACAAAGGAGGAGACTCAGGTTGAGTTTCCAGGTTCTTGGCTTTGTCCTGGTCCAGCACTGGCTGTTGTGGGCATTTGGTTGCTGATAGCTGGAGGAGCAGCTAGAAGGGAGTCCTTGGGGCCAGCACTGTGGCAGAGTGGATTAAGCGGATTAAGCCTCTGCTTGTAATGCCATCATCCCATGTCAGAGTGCTGGTTCAGCTGCTCCTCTTCCAATCCAGCTTCTTGCTAACGTCCCTGGGAAGTAAGCAGAAGATGTCCCAAGTAAGTACCTGGGCTCCTGACATCTATATTGGAAACGAGGCTTTGGCCTGGCCCCCAGACCTGGCAGCTGCTAGCATTTGGGAAGCGAACAAGAGGATGAAAGATCTTTCGTGCTCTCTCTGCCACTCTGTCTTTCAAATAAGTCAATGTCTTTTTTTCAAAGAGAAGAGTGTCCTTTTCTGTCTTCCTCACTAAGCATTTCCTAAAGCACCCTGCACTCCGGTGATGTGGGCCTCTAACATACCAAGACAGCAGAAATGTAATCTTCATTGTGGTGAAATTCATATTTTGTCAGAGAACTGTGTGGAAGGATGCTATGGGATGAGGTGTGCAACAGAATGCATGTGTTGGAAACTTAGACTCAAGATCGGTCATGTCTTCTTATTTGAAGATGGAGCTTTTGGGGATTAATTAGGATTTGATACGATTGTTAGGATGGAGTCCCATGATGGCATCAGTGACTTCAGGAGAAGAGGAAGAGAGAACAGAGGTGACACGCTGGCTGTCTCACCATTACAATGGGCAACAAGGCCCTCACCAAATGCCAATGACAAACTCTTGAATTCTCCAGCCTCCAAACCCATGAGCTAAATCAATCTCTGTATTTTTTTTAATAAGTTGCATAGTCCGTGGCATTCAGTTATAGCAATAGAAACTGGGCTAACATGAGGAAGGTACACTGCAGACAAGGGGTCTTAGAGATCATCAAGTTCCACAGTTCATGTACAAATGAGAAATTAAAGCTCTCAGGAGTGAGGAGCTTTCTAGAGTTTTCATAACCTTTTAAATGGCAACGATGAAGCCTGATTCCAGATCTCTGGCGCTGTGGCATGTTGCTATTTGTACCTTATCATTCCATCTACTGTAGTACAGTGTGTTCAATTAAGCAAGAAAATTGCATGCTCCACTGTGAGTCTAGATCCAAAAATACTGACTCTGCTCAGCACCCAGAGAGAAATATGGTAATGAGAGCAGCTAACACTTCTTGAATCCCAAATCTATACGCCAGACACTGTTTTAAGCACTTTACGTGAACTACTGCATCTAATCAGTCATATCATTGAGGAACAGAGAATACAGCAGGAAGTGCAAATTATGGGAAAATTTTTAAAATACATGAAATGAAAAAAAAGGTTTATTCTATTTTCCTAAGACCTGCTATTATCTATTAAATGTGCTAATCCACGAAGGGAATTTGAATAGTTTTTGGCTCATGAGCATACAAAACATTAGCTGCAATTATCATATGTTTCTTTGTGTGTTGAACAAAAAAACATTGAGGTTTTGATAAAAGTTAAGGGCTACACAAGATTTAAATACAGACAATATTCTCAGGGGTGAGCGCTAGAGTGGAGACCAGAAGGCTCATGGTGGAGCTAGGACAAAAACTGCTCTCAAAGGCCAACAGCTGGAGTCAAAGACCGGAAAGAAAAGAATTAAACAGGTTCATACTGGTCCTTGGTTGCCAGGAGCTCATTGCCTTATCAGTCTTTATCACATTCAGGTTGGGAGTGTGGAGGGTAGGAATGGATACAGAATGAAAATCTCTTGACAGCTTGTCTAGATAAAACTAATCACTCAAAGTCAGTAATGAGGGCCCAATTTCCTTAATAGATGTACTTATAAACTAGCTAAGAAAAGGAATATCACTATTAATTAAGATTAAACAACACAATACTCATTAAAACAGCCAAGGCAAGTAAACCACCTTGTATTTTACCTGCCTGGGGATGCTGACCTTACTAGGGATTTGCATATTCATGAGAAACTAGAGATAACCAGACAGGTCTGCCCTACTGCCATCCACTTCTTCTCCCAGCTGGAAGCATAGGAAGAGTTCACTCTGCTTCGCTAGAGAGGGAAAAACTGAGATGGGTGAGTGCAAGATGCTTGATAGCAGATTTTGGCTCAAGATAAGAAAGAACTGTGAACAAAAAAAAGGTCTGCAACAGTGAATGCGCTGCTAGCTGAGGGGTAGGTACTCTGCTGGCTGTCAAGCAGAGATCCAGTAAACACACACAGCGTAAGCAATTAATGGTGTCACAGTTTCCATCACCACTGAAATCGTTACCTTATTAGTGCTCTCGCAGATGCACATGGGTAGGAAATGGTTCCACCAGCACAGCCTGCACAGGAGTTAAGAGTTGCTTTTTGGTTAAACTCAAGATTGAATTTGGGATCTGTTGCTTATTGGTGATGTGACTTAGAGTTGACAATCAAATTTCTCTAAGCCTTGGCTTCTTCATCTGTATGATGGAGACGATATCAGCCATCTCTCCTGCTCATTCATCCATTCGCCAGAATGAAGCATTCACTATGGACATATTTTGCTACAGAAAGACACTTCTCAGGGTGTCCGGCAAAGGACAAGACCTCCAACGTCTCTACTCCCCATGAGTTCACATTTCAGTGCATGCAGAGGAATTCAGAAAATATATACGTACAAGTGAACATATATTGAACTAACAAACTACATATTTATGCAGATAGTACCCAATGCTGTGAATTAAATAAGACAGGATAGTCTCAACATCTTTAGTTAGGGTAGTCAAAGACTGTTTGTAGAAGGTAGCATACAAGTTGGAACCTAAAATAAAAGAAAGGGCCAGCTTTGAGAAGCCTTGGCAGAAGCAACAGCAACGGTCCCTAACCTGACTGCTCCCACCCCGAGCTGGACTGGGATTTGGGTAAGGAATTCAAAATGAGGTTGGTGGTGAGGATTAAAGGAGGTAATGTGGGAAGATCTATAGCAGAGGAAGGAAGGAAGTGCTCCCCAAAAGGAACAATTGAGCCATTACTCATATTCCGAAAATTCCATGACATATGGCTGCCCTAGTGAGGTCAAGCACACAGAGGCCGTTGCTTCTCCACCCTCTGAAACCCCCAAATGCCAGGCTTTGCCACAAGGACAAGTCCCCATGCTCCTTTCTTGATCTAACTTTACTCAATCTAAACCTAGAATGACCTATATTTTAACCCCTGAAAAGTACAGGATTTTAGAGCTGGGAAAGCATTCGGTCTGTCTGTGTATCAATGATCACATCAGAATAAGGGCGTAGTCTGAGGGCTCCTAGGGTCAGCCTCTACAGCTCTGAGAAATGGAAAGTTACAGGAGATAAAGGGTGTGGGACTCCAGGTCTCTGGCCATTATTTCAACTGAAAGAGTGCTACAGGCATCTATTTTCTGTTTTATTTTTCACTGTAAAACTGAGTTGCATTGCTAAAAATAATGCCATCATTTGAAAATCAGTAACTTACTCCAGTTTTATAGATAAGGAAGCTAGGCCTCAAACTGGACCTCAAAAACTCCTCCAGGTCATTTATTGACCAGGACAAACCTAGAACTAGGGCCTATCTCCTGATTTAGGATTTAGTAACTCTCCACATGGGTTGCCACATAAAGACCCCTATTCTGATCTTTGTAGTCGCGGAAGTTGCTTCTGGGCAACTCTACAAGACCAGTATGCATTCCCTTTCATAAAACCATGTATTTGAGTTGTGAGGCTCTGATGAGCTCCGATGTTTTGAAATCTATTCTATTTAATTAGTTTTGAACAACAAATATAGGATCTGTTTTCACAGTCGTACAGTTCACAGAGGTTTCCTCGGAGCCAAAAGCTGTCTTAGTCAGGGCCTAGGAGTGAAGTTGCAGAGAACAGGATTAAAGCAGCCATTTCTGAAAGGATTATAAAAAATGTTTGATTATTCTTCTCTGCCAGAGAGAAAAGTGAAGATGAAAACTGGTAAAAGAGGAAGCTACAGAATCAGGCACTGGACAACAGCAGAGGTTTAGGGAGACAATGAAAGACACTATTTGCAAAATGCTGAGAAGAACACTCTTCCGTAGGAATCACCACCTTAGAAGGTGGGAATAGTTTAAGTTCTGTTTATATTCAAGTTCTTGGGGATGGGAGGGAAGGGGAGTAGAGGAGAGGAGGTTCCACCTGGCTGCTTCAAAACAGAGAAATGAGGTTAGAGTCAGAAGGAAATCTGCCGGGATTTGTAAAGACACATTAAATTACTGTATCAGGGATAAGAAGTTGGTCGGGAGATTTGGATCTAAGGCAAATTTCCCATTTGGAAATGAATGGTAACAGTGGAGAACCTGTGGTACTTTAGGCCATGGACTGACTAGAATGTGGTAAAAGGATCTCAGATGTTTCCTGGATTAGTTGACAGCAGTAGCAGATAAACTGCCCTCCCTTGCTCAGTTAATGCTGGAAGCTAAAGCAGGTGACAGACTGCAAATTTTGAGAGTTCAAGGTACACTCAGAAGAAGGCTGAGCAGTTTCTTTTCAAAAATAAGTTTAAAAGTATTCCTCCAAAACCCCACACCCCAACTAGAGGGAAAAACAAATGGCAAGTGAGGACAACATGAGCAGTCAATGCCTTCGAGTATCTTCACTCTGTGGAGGTCTCTCACTTTGCTAAAGAAAAGCCAGTACATTCACCAAAAGAGGCAATGAGCAACGTAAAGGAGAAAAGGGTCACATTAAAATAGCAATGAGTGACTGTACTTCCTTCTACTGCATGAGCGCACCCAGGGCTGTAGGGGAACTGGTGATGTCATGCACGGCGGGGTTGTGTATCCTCAGAACCCTTCTGGAAAGCATTCTGGAAATACATGCGGGGCCACAAACATGGCCGTACCACATGCCAGTAATCCCTCTTATGGAAATCTATCTCAAATAACTGAAAATGTGGGAAAAGCTATGTCCATAAAGACATTTGCTGAAATACTGTTTAAAAGAGAAAGGAATTTTGGATGAATCCAATGAATGATAACTGAATGCCTACCAAGAGCTGTGTATGATAAGGCAGAGTCCCATCTCTCTATAGCTCATTGTCACAAGTTAATGTCTGTATTGTTTGCAATATTATGAAACCATGGATTAAGAGGCTTTGGAGACACTAAAAGAGTAAAATGTGTATCATATAGTAAATTGAAAAAATTGAACACACAGGAGTGGGTGTTAAGCCAAGCAGGTATCACAACTGTGTCCTACATGAGAGTGAACAGGTTGATTCTCCATTCTGTTCCCCGGCTTCCTGTGAATGTGGACACTGGGAGGCATGGTGATGTCTCAAATACTTGGGTTCCTGCCACATGAGAGATCTGGATTGAGTACTCAACTCGCTTCTTTGGCTCTGGCCCAGCCACAGCCATTGAGCACATCTGGGGAGTGAAACAGAATGGGAAATCTCTCTATCTCCTTTTCTCTCTACTTCTTGAGTAAAATTTTTGAAATGTTTTTTTTTTTTTTAACTAAACACAATAATTATGTTTACCACAATGTTTCTGGTGGGGGTAGGAAACATGGAAAGTTCCCAAGTAAAGAAATCAAAATTAGAATAATGATGGAAGAAAGGGTCACATTTTCTTTTTCTTTCTTTAACTGTACTGTGGTTATATTACCTTTCAAATAAAGAGCGATAATAAACACAAGACAATAACCAGGGAACAATAAAGCAGAGATGGAATGGAGATGAAATTTAATGAGGAAAGTAACAACTACACTTAAGAACTTCTATAATTTAAAGGCTGCTTTTAGAAATTTATTTTTCTAACTTTTCTAATTGAAACTTTTATAAGTTTAAAAAACGAAGTTCCAAAATAGTCCCTCCCTGACATTGAGTCATAATTTAGTGCTATAATAGAGATCTTGAAGCTATGAACTTCAAAATGACTTCTGAATCATAACATTTTAAATAATTATCTTGTGTGTTAATAAAATGGACTGTTGAATGCTGAAATATCGCTTTTAGTTGCACATATTTGGTAATTAATTCTCGTGATTTGTTAACTCAATAAACTTTTATTTTAGATGAGAAATTATGAATGCTGTAAACCACAGATTCATGCAAGCTCACTCATGGAGGTCTTCAGGATCTCACATAAATAAAGGTCACTCTGAAGCAAGAATCTAAGAAATTCTATCACCTAAAAATGATTATGATGAAAAACAAGAATAAAACAGAGGCACAGAGACATCTGATTTAGTGGTTCAAAAGAACATGAGGATCTACTGATGTTTGCTGAAAACATCTTTTAATAGGGCAACAATTCACCCCCAAAGCTGAGGATTGAAGAAAAAGTGCCGTTCTGGCATCCTAACCAAGATGGGAATCTGGCTCTCTCTGGAGAGGAGCCTCCGCAGATAATGGGGCAGTGAGGGAGGTGAGGCCAGGCCACAGGGAGGCAGGCATTGCCAAATCCACAGGCACTGGAAGCCCACTGTGGGAGGGAACTTCCAGTAATCTGAGTCTCCCCAAAACTGTTCCTACTCACTTGGCCCTCCTCCTTCCAGAAGACCTGAAAATACCATGAGTTAGCGAACACTGACTCAAAAACCCACAAGAGTGAATGTTGTAAGGTTTTTTGTCTTGTTCTGTATTTTTTTTCTTTTCTTTCTTTCTTTTTTTTTTTTTTTTTTTTTGGACAGGCAGAGTGGACAGTGAGAGAGAGAGAGAGACAGAGAGAAAAGTCTTCCTTTACCGTTGGTTCACCCCTCAATGGCCGCTGCAGCTGGCGTGCTGCAGCCAGCACACCTTGCTGATCCGAAGCCAGGAGACAGGTGCTTCTCCTGGTCTCCCATGCGGGTGCAGGGCCCAAGCACCTGGGCCATCCTCCACTGCACTCCCGGGCCACAGCAGAGAGCTGGACTGGAAGAGGAACAACTGGGACAGAATCTGGCGCCCTGACCGGGACTAGAACCCAGGGTGCTGGCGCCACAGGTGGAGGATTAGCCTATTGAGCCACGGTGCCGGTTTTCAGGTTAAGAGTCTTTGTGAATGACCACTGAGAATTATTTGGTTTTTATTTTTTTAAAAAGATTTATTTATTTATTTGAAAGGCAGAGTTACAGAGAGGCAGAGGCAGAGAGAAAGTGAGAGAGGTCTTCCATTCCCTGGTTCACTCCCCCAAATAGCTGCAATGGCCATATCTGGGTCAATCTGAAGCCAAGAGCCTGCAGCTTCCTCCAGGTTTCCCACAGAGGTGCAGGGGTCCAAGAACTTTGGCCATCTGCTGCTTTCCCAGGCCTTAGCGGAGAGCTGGAGTGGAAGTGCAACAGGCAGGACTCAAACCAGTGCCCATATGGGATGCCAGAACTGCAGGTGGTGGCTTTACTGGCTATGTCACAGCACTGGCCCCTGGTTTTTCTTTTGCCTTGAATCAATCATGTGTGGACTTGAGCTTGTCATTCTATTTCTTTAAGCTCTGCAGTGCCACCATCCCACTTCAGGGTCCTTGAGTCACTGACAACCATCCTGTTCTTCTATGGCAGTGATCATCCCTAACCGCATCCTTGATGCAGCTGACACCACATGAACAAGGTACCTTTAATTACCTGATTCTCCACTGGGTGCCATGAGCTGTTAGCAGCTCTGGGTATTAAAAATAGGGTGTCCTTGCATTCTACTTAATCTAGGTTAGATAATCAGTTTCCAACACTCCATATTTCCCCTGGAATCTACTTCCTAAAATCGACTCCCTGAGATCTATTTACATAGCATATCAATCATGTTGTGTTGTTATAATGGAATACTAGAGGTTAGGATATCAATCCATACCACAGATTAGGATATTTGGAAAGAATAGAGATTTATTTGGCTAATGGTTCTGGAGGCTGGGAATTCCAAGAGCACAGAGCTGGCAATTGGTGAGGACCTCCCTGCTGCGTCTTAACAGGCACAGGACATCACATGGCAAGACAGAGCAAGCATGATAGCTACAGCTCGCTTTTTAACAGAGCCACTTCCATAACAGTGCATTACTCCACACACAAGTCAACTGTAGTTCTTGATATCAGGCAATAGAAGCTGACTTTGAAAATCATTAACTCAACAACAAAAAAGCAATTATTGGAAGGATATTGGGGCTTACAGAATTAAACAGTCTGAATCATGTGGCTTGGAAAATGATCTGGCTTTTAGCAAGTGCATTAGAAGTTTGGTTGTGGGAATCAAGCAAGGTTCTTACAAGCTGGTTCAAGTTCTTTATGTTAGAAATAAATTATGAAAAAATAATAAAAAGTCTACAATATTTCAATTATATACTATAATACTATGTAATGGAAAAGTCACTGTTGATTTCTAATAGTGGTTTCGCTATTAACTAGACATATAACCCTGCATGAGTTACTTGACATTTATAACCCTTAAATATAGCCAAAAATAAAAGAACCAGATTAAAGACTATTGAAAATATGACTCTGCTATATTTTGGTCATAATTTGGTTCCCAAACTCATATAGGACTTTAAACCTCAAAGTCCTACAAGGGTAGAAATTGGATCCATTTTTGGTGTTTAGGAAGTGAGCCCAGGGAGATCCTGAGATCAGTGGGGTGTGCCCTCATTAGGGAGTTTTTTTTTCTTTTTTGACAGGCAGAGTGAACAGTGAGAGAGAGAGACAGAGAGAAAGGTCTTCCTTTGCCATTGGTTCACCCTCCAATGGCCGCCGCGGCCAGCGCACTGCGGCCGGCACACCGCGCTGATCCGAAGGCAGGAGCCAGGTGCTTTTCCTGGTCTCCCATGGGGTGCAGGGCCCAAGCACTTGGGCCATCCTCCACTGCACTCCCAGGCCACAGCAGAGAGCTGGCCTGGAAGAGGGGCAACTGGGACAGAATCTGGCGCCCCTACTGGGACTAGAACCCGGTGTGCCGGAACCGCAAGGTGGAGGATTAGCCTAGTGAGCCGCAGCACCGGCCTAGGGAGTTCTTAAGAGTGTTGGTTTCAAAGCCAAGTTGAGCCCAGCCATACTCCCTGTTTCCTGGCACACCAGGTGATTCTTCCTGCCCACGTGTTCCTCCATGGGCCATCCTCAAGCCTCACCAGACTGCCAGACCAATGGGGCCCAGCTGATCTTGGACTGTAAACCTCCAAAACTGTGAGGCAAAATAAGCCCCCCACCTTCATAAGTAGCCCGTTTCAGATATCCAGTTCTAGTGAGGAGAAGTGGACTACTCCAGGCTCCCTTCTAGTTGTCATGTTGCTTGAGGTCTACCAAGAGTGGTGACTGATCTGAGCTCTCTTCCCTCCCCTGCCCACCACACTCCTGGGAAGACACTGGTAGGGAAGAACAAACGACTTCTCTTAACATCCAGATGCAGCCACAGAAACCTTCTCAATAAAGAGCTCCAGACAGCTGCTGTCCATCAGTTGGTGTTTCCATGTAAGGGGAAATCAATTTGCCATTGCTGGTCTGTACTATATTGTTCTGTGTTCACAGGACAAGTTAAACCAGAAAAACTAAGACATTCTAACAGCATCAGTCAAAGTCTTTGCTGAAAAGAATCTCCAAGACCAGCTCTTGTCCTGCTGCTAAACATCAATTCAGCTTGTACAGTCTCCCTGGTAACAGAGTACAATAAGCTAGCATTTAGGCAGCCTGAAAGTTTTGTCACATAATTCAAACACATTTCAGGAGCTCTCAGCACCGTGTTCTTCATTCAGTTCTTACAGGCCTTGTCTTTTGTCCTCTGTTCTGCCTGTCCACACACCTGGTGACTGTCCCATTTATATTCTGCTGGAATCCTCCAAAATGAACATAATGGAACTGAGAAACCTAGAAAAGCCCTGGATCTGATTCGGCTGGTCTTAATAATCAAAAGAGTCTGGAGACAGAAATATCAGGACTTTGTGTAATTCCAACCAGGATAAGGTAAGGGACAAAGAGTTTACCAAAGGGAAAAAAATGTTTTAAAAAAAGTCGAGTTTGGACGGTCCTTCCAAATTAAAAGTTTCATCTCACCAGATAGGATGTATTAGTAGGGTTAGATATAGGTACATATATCGGAAAGATTCAAAAATTAAAGTGCCTTACAGCAGGGATCAGCAAAGTACAGACAAATCCAGTTTGCCACCTGTTTTTGTAGTTAAAATTTTATCCGAGCACAGTCACTCATTTGTTTATGTACTGTCTACGGCTGCTTTTGCACGGGAACAGCAGATCCAAGCGGTTGTGACAGACACTCTGTGGTCTACAAAGTCTAAAATATTTATTATCTGGCCTTTCATGGAAAAAGTTTGCTAACTGCTGCCTTGGGGTGTTAATTTACTTCTCTCCCATGTAACGAAGTCTGGGGATGGAGCACAGGATTCATGGTGCCAACAGAGAACTAACTTCTCCTATCTTTTTGCTTTGACTCCCAGCACATGGCTCTCATCTCTAGGTCATCTTGTGTTTTAAAATCATTGCAGGGACTCTAATCAAGTGAAAAAGTAGAAATGCTTCCACAAAACACTTCCACCTATATTTTATCTGATGGAGCACAGACCTTTGGCACATCCAGCTGCAAGGAGCACTGGGAAAAAAATTATTGGTAGTGTTGTTTTATTTCCTATGGCCATATATTCAATTAAACATAAGAGTCTATTGTTCTGGATATGGGAGGGAGAGAACACTGAGTTAAGCAAGCAACAGTCTCTACTACAAAACACTATTTTGTGACATCATGAGTATCAGGGTTCACAAGTAACCAATACCTTTTACATTTTGGAGTGGAAATTTTTTTGAAAAGGAAGATTTCACATTATGTCATCATAGCCATAACATTTTTGTTTTCTATTTCACCATGTGGCATGCTTATTGGCCAATTATGAATCAGCTGATGATTGATAAATTCATTCATTCAACAGAATTCAATTTCCTGAGCACTTACCATATTCCAGCCATAGGGTGAGCCAAGGGATATTTAGTATCTAATCTGCCCTCATTGAATCCCCAGTCAATGAGGAAGATGGACAAGCAAATGGACAGTGGTTGTATAGGGTGATGGATTTTCTGAGGTGAGATAGATCAGTACATGCCCCAAGCACATAGGAAAAGCTTAAGAGCTGAGTCAAATGCTGAAGAACCAGTTGGAGGAGGTGGTGGGGTAAGGTGGAAGCACTGGTATTCCAATATGATATGGAGAGACAAGGAGGAGAAATAGAGAGCAAGCACACGGAGCTGCAGGAGCACAGGTGTGTAGGAGGCCCAGGAGAGCAGCCTGGGTGGTGGGTAGAGCAGATCCAGCACAGAAAGGACTTCATACCAAGATGCCGTGTTCATCTGGTTATTTATGAGTAGGCACTGAAGGTAATCTATCTAAAGTGGAGTGCATGACCAATGTGTTTCATAAAGATCATTCTGATCACAGTGAGGAGGGTTTGGGTGGGATCAGCAGGTGGAAAGGCACAGGAGGGACTTGCATTTATCCTCAACACATACTTTGCAATCACACTTAAGTTTTATTTAAGATTTTATTTATTTGAACAAGTTACAAAGAAAGAGGGAAAGATAGAGAAGAGAAATAAAGAGAAAGAGGGAGAGAGACAGACAGACAGAGAAACATATCTTGCATATGCTGGTTCACTCCCCAGGTGGCTGCAATGACCAGGGCTGGACCAGGACAAAGCCAGGATCCAGGAGCCAGGAGCATCCTCTGGGCCCCAACATGGGTGAAAGGGGTATAAGCACTTGGGCCATCTTCTGCTGATTTTCCCAGGACATCAGCAGGGAATTGGATCTGAAGTAGAGCAGCCAGGACACAAACCAGTGCCCATACGGGATGCTGGCATTGCAGACAGTAGCTTTACACATTATGCCAAAACGCTGGGCCCCATGCTTAAGTTAACAAAAGAATCTGATCAGAGAGCATTGCACAAGAAGTCCCATTCACTCAATTTGCAAGAACCACAATGGAGAACAATAATCTAAATAATCTTAAAGATGAGGTAAACTGAATTTCTGAAAGGTGAAGTGACTTGCTGAAAATCTCACAGCTACTGTGGCACGGTGGTCCTTGCATAGAGGCTTTCCGATCTCTTTCTGCTGTACCAGGAGAGCAACAAGCATTCCAACACCCAAGCCCTCACCCCTAGATCCAGTCCAGGTAATCCTGTTTGACTGTTCTGGCCATGACACATCTTAGTGGCATTAAATGTAGGCAAACATGGAAGCATTTCCTGTGTGTGGATTTAGGAGGCAAGCTATCAAGAGTATTTTACTAGACTTTGGCAAAATCTCTTAATGGTGAAAATCAAACATATATTTTATTGCTCTTTTGTTCAGCACTGTGGCAAACATTCAAACACTCATGAACGATCTGTTTTTCTATTTCCAACTTTCTATTTGATTATACTCCATCTTTCATCATTCATGTGGGAAGCTCTAAGAGTTCTCAAGATAGACTTGTTTAAAGTCTCAATGAACTTTAATAGTATTTTAATTTTTGGTGGTTGTAACAGATGTCTTCTTAGAAATAACTTTTCAGACACCTGCTCTCTTTCTCCAACCTCCATGTTTGAGTTAGAAACTACCCCTTACTTATTATGCCACCCAACTCTCAATCAAACCTAAAAGAACCCATATTTGGTTGTCAATTTCCTTGCCTTTTTTCTTGATCAGATGGCAGTTCCTTGAAGTCAGCTTCAGAGTATGTTTTTACTTTAAATCTCCAGAGTTTGGCACTGTAATTGGTATTTAATAGTCCACAATAATTGTTTCTGAGTTAATTTATAGAGTACAATGCAACTAAACATATAGAATTATATTTAAAATAGTACTGTAGTGTGGTATCTATGCTAGTTGTTGAAACACAGCTTAAGATGTCCTTGTCCCACATAGGAGGACCTGGGTTCAATGCCCAGCTCCAACTCCTGACTCCAGCTTACCACTAATGCGAACCCTGGGAGACAGCACTGATGATTTAAGTAATTGGGTTCCTGCCACCCACATGGGAGACCCAGACTAAGTTCCCAGCTCCTAGCTTCAGCCCACTCCCAGCCACTGTGGCATTTGGAGAGTACACAAGTGGATGGATCTCTCTCTCAATCTCTCTCTCTCTGTCTCTCTCTGTTTCTCTCTCTCTCCCTCCTTTCCTTCCCGCCCTCTCTTTCTCTCAAATAAACTTATATAAAACAGTACTGCATCACTCAGACTTACCCCTAATGGTAGAGCTAGAAACGTGCCAGGGGATTCTAAATCAATCCCATTAAGGAGGCATGTACCAATGCCATCTTACTAGTCAAAGTGATCAGTTTAAGTTTATAATTTATCATAAAGATAGGATTAAGAGCCAAAGGGATCACATAAACAAGACTAGTCTGCTAATAATAACTGATAGATTTAAAAAGGAGAGAATGATGCAACATGGGAAGCGGGATATACAGCAGACTCATAGAATGGCAAATGCCCTAAACAGCACTCTGGCCTCAGAATCAACCCTTAAGGCATTTGGATCTGGCTAAAAAGCCCATGACAGTTTCTCAGGCATGGAAAGCCAAGACACTGTGGCAAAAAAAAAAAAAAAAAAATCAATCAATCAAATCTAAATGAAAGACCTCTGTGAGTGAGATCCCAGCAGAAAGAATGGGCCATCAAAGAAGGAGGTACCTTTCTCTGAAGGGAGGAGAGAACTTCCTCTTTGATTATGGCTTTGCCTAAATAAGGTCGGAGAGCCTTGGGTGATTACTGACGTCATAAATAAGAGTGTCAATTGTTAAATCAACAACGGGAGTCACTGTGCACTTACTCCCCAGGTAGGCTTTCTGTCCTTAATGTGTTGTACTATGTGGATTAATGGTAAAACTACTACTGAACAGTACTTTATACTTTATGTATCTGTGTGGGTGCAAACTTGAAATCTTTACTGAAAGGTATATACCAAGTTGATCTTCTGTATATAAAGATAATTGAAAATGAATCTTGATGAAGAATGGGTTGGGAGAGGGAGTAAGAGATGGGATGGTTGTGGGTGGGAGGGAGGTTATAGGGGGAAAAGCCACTATAATCTCAAAGTTTTACATTTGAAATTTATATTTATTAAATAAAAGTAAAAAAAAAAGTACTGCATCGAAATCATTACCACATTAAAGATGTTTATATTCTCTGTAGTTTTACTGCAAAAATAGCAAAATCTCTTGGAATAAGTTCAGTTATGTTCAGAGTAGCCATTTTAGGGTCTCTTTTGATATCTGTTGAGGCTCAGGATGACCATGCTTTGTAAGAAGTCGGTGCAGAGATGGTTCCGCTGAGGGTCCATCTTTTCCCCTCTGTCTCATCTCCCACAGGAAGCAGAGACTTTGCAGATGAAGACTGCCTTGGTTAAACAGCATAATGTCTTTCTGTTTCTTAAGCGGCCATCTCCCAAAACCAGGTTCTCTGCTGGGCATGTGGACACTTTGCTTCCTATGCTTTGTACTCTGTGCAGGTACTTCCCCGGCCAAAGATTCTAAGTTGGATCTAAATGGTAGCTACACTCAAGGAACTCACTGCTCACAGACCCACTCCAAGCTTTTCTGTACTCACCTCTTACTTTTGCTCTTCAAGAGTGTTGCATCGCAGGGCACCACATTTCATTATAATTCAGTTTTAAAGCCTGAATGAGGTATAGCTATAAAGTACTTATGTAGCTATAAGGAAATGCTACAATGTAACTATTTTCACCAGAAGATTAGAATTCATGATCTTGTCAGTCACTTGTTCAAAACGCATCTGGAAGTCAGGGCCTTAACACAGTTTCCTAACTCATTAGCAGCTCTTCTTATTCAGACCTTTCTTCTGGTCCCCTCTTCTGCTCTGTTTGGCTTTATCTCTTCCTTTCCTCTCTTCTTCTGCTCTGAGCCAAGAGCCAAACAATTTCAGGGCCCAGGGACCCAGAAGGGTGAGTTTGTGGGGGTAGAGTGAGGGGGAAAATAAAAAAGGAACCTTATACCATCACAGAGTAACAGGGAAGGAGCTGAATGGCCCACTGATTTCCTTCCCTAAGGCCAAGGCTTGGGGCAGGAGCTGGCTGAATATGCACCATGCTAACCACTGAGCCTCAAGGACTGTGTGGTGTTGCTGTAGATTTCTGAGAAAGGGAAAATAAGAATGGGCTAGGAGCAATAGTTAAGATAAATGGTTTTCAAAAAGTAAGTAGAATTTGAGTTCCTGGTGGCTTAGCAGTGCTTTCTAGGGACATTCAATAATGTCTAGCACAATGATAAGTTGGGGTGTCACACAGTGGGGAGGAGAAGTTGTTACTCATAGAAACAGGCCCAGGATATTATTAGACATCCTACAATGCACAGGGCAGTCTCCCATGCCAACAAAGAATTATTCAGCCTCAAATATTCAATAGTGTTAGGCTGAGACACAAGCAGGCGTAAATCCATGAGAAAGGAAAAAGATAGAAATTAATTTGCTGTGGGAATTTAAAAAAAAATTCAAGTCACATCTTATCAACTTCCACTTTATCTAATCTTCACATTTGAAGTACTTACGAAGTATGTCCACTTTCAAATACAGTCACTCTAGTAATCTGTGGGTGACTGATTCCAGGACACCTGTGGATACCAACAATCGATGGGTGCTCAACTCCCTTATGTAAAATGCCATAGCGTTAACAGATGACCTATGTGCATCCTCCCATTTACTTTAAATCATCCCTAGACTACCTGTAATTTCTAACACAATGTAAGTGCTATGTAAATAGTCCTTATACTCTATTGCTTAGGAAATAATGGCAAAGACAGTCTAAAATGTACACAATATTTTTTTCTAATATTTTCAATGCATAGTTGGTTGACTCTGCAGGTTTAGAGCCCACAGAGAAGGCTGACCTTATTCACTTGGTTTTAGATAGCAGACTTGCAAAGTGATTAGCCTCTGTTGCTTTCTCAGCATCCTGTGCTCCACGACTCCTGTGAGCATTGCTCACAATGAACATTCATGTGAGTCTCATTTATGCTATGTCTCCCCTATGAGAGCATAAGCTTCCCAAGGCCACGGACTGGGTCTGATGCACTTGTTTATTTCAGAACCCAGCACTGTGTCCTGCAGCAGAAGCAGCGGTGAGGCTAAAGAAGCAGACTCTGAGTCAATCTGCTTGGGTTAACTCCACCACTAACTCATTGTGTGACTTTAACATGTTGTACAACTTTGACTCAGTTTCCTTGTTAATATAGATGGGGATATCCCATACCAATCTCATAGCTAGAAATATGTACGAAGTTCTTAGTACAGTCATGCACCCTAAACGTTAAGATACATTCTGAGAAACGCATCCTTATGCAATTTTGTCATTGTTCAAGTATCACAGAATAGTGAACTCACACAAGCCTAGATGGATTATCTAGCCTTCTACACTCCTAGGCACCATGGTCTAGCACATTGCTCCTAGGTTACAAATTTATACAGCATGCTACTGTACTGAGTACTGCAGGCCAATGTGGCATAGTGATAAGTATGTGGGCATCTCAACATATCTGAATGCAGAAAGGGTATAGTGAACATCCAGATAATGGGAATTTAGCTTCACTGTAATCTTCTGGGACTATGATAGTGTATATATATATGGCTTGACATTGACCAAAATATTCTGTAGTGGCATATAGCATAAATCCTTGTAGATGAGAGATGTGTCTAAACACAAACAAAGACTGTGTTAAAATATGTGTGCGTTCTACCAAATAAGGAAGAAAACAACCATATTATATCTTCAGGAGTTTGGAAATTCAAGAGTTTTCTTCTTTGTGATAAAACAACTTTGGAGAGCGGTTGGTTAATATTTATAAGTAAAAGGCATTAAAAGCAGGAAACGTGTTTTTGTCATATTGATTTTACTTCACAATAAATGTCCTACCCAGTTTCTAAGCTATGTTCAGTCTTCTCATTAAATTTATTGCTATTTGTTAATTTCATTTTTTTTATTTTTTATCATCTCCTGATAACAACTGATTTATGGCACACAGTATGTCTGCCTAAAAAAAGGACTATAATTTTAGTATCCTGTTGGTTATATGCATTAAATAGATGTTTCTTAAATTCAGCACTTGGTAAATGGACCAGAACTATGTACATTTCCTTCTTGTTGAATGATCGAGAGCTGTGTTGTCCTTATAACTGCAGGGGCTGCAGGGGTGTGTTGACTTTAGCCAACCTCCCAGATCAACTGCAAGCTACCCCAAGGCAGAGAGATGCTCAGGGGGTCCTGCTCCATCAGGATCCGCAGAGACCCCTGTTGTCCTTTTCTTTGCCTTGAGGGCCATCTCCTGCTAGTGCAGGGTCCATGGTGGGGAGCCTTGCTCACCTCCTCTCAGGAGCAGCCTCTCCCTGCGGCTTCTGATGGCTCCACTCCCTTGACTTCTGTTGGTTGGGGCAATTTTCCTCTTTCAGTTTTTTTTTAAGGAACCTAGGAGGTTATTTTCTATATAAGGAAAATGTATTTTATAAGAGCTGGGGAAAATGTCTAAAATGTCTGAGAAAGACTCTGGGGGGAGTGTGAAGTAGGGCATTTTTATGGGAGGTGCTTTTCTGCAGTACGAGGATGGTGAGATTAATTTTTAATTTCTGCAATGCTGCTTGACTTTATGACGCCACTATTGTGCAGGATGTAGCTGAAGCTAAATTACAACCTTCTCTTCCTCAAAATGTCTGGGAAGAATAAAGTCTTGACAGGCTAACAAAATCTAGTGTCACTGACACTGAATGTGTGTCACTTTGCCTCTTTTTACTTGTATCCATCTACTTGGATTTAGGGCTGTGTTCTTTACACAACTGTAAGCGCTCAGCAGGAAGGGAGGAAGTGGTCCAGCACTCTTATTTTGCTTGTACTTCTGCACAGTGGCTACAGAGTTCTGTGGTCAGAAGTTGTGGTGGTGGATTATTTCACGAAGAGTATGGCTGTAAGATATTTTAGAAATAATTAATTTTATTTCCTAGTTAGCTTTTACCTTTGCAGCAGGAGCAGTACCCATCAGAAGATTTTGGCATTCCATTCTCAGAGAAAACTGATACCGCAAAGGCACTTTTGAATATTCAACAAGGCCAGCTTTACTCATAAGAAGACAAAAACCCTGCAGTGCGGTCTTGGGCGTGCTTTCTCTAGATTGCATTCACATCGCATTTTATATTTAGTTAGCTCTAATTAGAAATTATGCTTCATACAGACATTTTCATTTCTCCATAGAAGAGTCACTAAAATCTCTGACTTAAAAGATGGTAAAGCAATTGTGAAATATTCCAAATTAAAGACACGATTCTGCTGACTGATTGTTGAGCGGAATAAATCTTCTGGGTATAAAATGAATACGCACATCATTATTAAAGTTTATGCTTAGCAAAATAAGCTATGAAAAACTGAGTACTTATTGTCCTTGTTTTCTCTGTAATTTTTCATTAAATCCACCCTAAGAATTAAATGTCAGCACAAACTCAATTATTTTATCTCCTACTCCCATCTGGAATCAGAAAGCAGGGGAAACTCCACCTTCTAAGGCCAAAGACATGAGTGGCCTGGGCTTTCATTCTGCTACAGGAGCCTGAAGAATGAGTCTCAGCTCCATGGAGAGGGAAATCTAGATGCTTATACCAGGGCACTTCAAAAAGCTGGTGGAAGATGGGATTAAAGGACAAGTTTACTTTGATGCAAAAATCTTTAACATTGTATATATGAGGGGGTTTTCAGAAAGTTCATGAAAAAAATGTGTATTTTGAAAAAAATATGAATGGATTTCCAAAATTTTTTGCACCAAAATTAACTTACCTTTTAATTTGGTTTTCAAGAACCTTCTGGAAAACCCTCATACTTCATTTATTACATAAATTTGAAAAGGTAGGTGTGTGTGTGTGTGTGTGTGTTGTAATGGTTACAGGAAATCTAAATTGAAACTGCTATGTGTAGCTATAATGTTCACTTAGATAATTGGTTTTTGTAAACATAGTTTCTTACAAAATCTTAGCCTGCTGCTATGGAAGCAATGACATTAACAGAAACAACAGTGGTGCCACAAATCTTCAGGGATTTTTTTTTAATGGAAAGGAAAATTCTAAAACTAAAAATATACTTTTTATTTGCAACTATGGGAATACAAACACCAGAAAAACACAAGAGGACTGTGCAACTGGGACATGGAAGGTATTCTATCTGGTGGTTTTATTGAAAGGCTGGAATCTAAGCCTTAGGTCATTATAACCAGAGCCAAAGAGAAAAGATATGGGCTCCCAATAGAGGCATCTTACAGGAGGCAATGACTTCCCCTGCCCTGCTTCTCCTCATACTGCATGCACCACTCTTTCAGAGTAGCGGAGATATCAGCCCTAATATTTCTCAAGCTTATAGGACTTGATTATGCCATCGTAAATCCTGCCCCCATAGAAGTGGGGAGCTACCCCACCTGAAAGATACTGTCCCATAACTTCTTAACCACTGCTCTCGGTTGACATTTGTGTAACAGAATGCATCTAAAAATGTCTAGATCTGAAAATTGAAATATAAGAGAAATACCATCTTCTTTATCTAACACTAAGCATTAACACCAGCTGGACTTCTGAAGGCATGTTATTAACACTCCTGACCCAGCAGCTCATTTAAATTGGCCTCTGTTAGCACTATTAGCAAAAATCATGAAATGGTTTTCTACATGCTTGAACTTCATATCTTATTCTTCTACCTTTAAATTATTTGTATCAAAATGATGATTCATAAAACTTGGTTCTGAAAAAAAATTTATTTAAATTAAGGACATCTATGATTAGGGGAAGGGGGGTTGTATCTGCTTTCTTCTAGGCTTTAGAAGTCTTAGAGGGTTTAAAGGTGAAATATAATTTTTTAAAAAAGATTTATTTATTTGAAAGGCAGAGTTGAGAGAGAGAGAGAGAGAATCTTCAATTCTATGGTTCACTCCCCAAATGGCCACAACAGCCAGAACTGGGCCGATCTGAATCCAGGAGCCAGGAACTTCCTCCAGATCTGTCACATGGGTGCAAGGGCCCTTGGGTCACCTTCTGTTGCTTTCCCAGTTGCGTTAGCAGGGGGCTGAATCAGAAGTGGAGCAGCTGGGACTACAATTGGGACCCAAATGGGATGTTGGCGCATGCAGCGGCTTTACCTGCTATGCCACAGTGCTGGCCCAAGAAATATTATTTTCTCTATTAAATTCTTTGAAGGGCTCTGGTAGACTTACATTAAAAAAGTAAACATTTGTTTGTGTGTGTTTTTTTTAATCAAATAGATATTTGAAAACTAAAAACCACCACCCTTGGAAAATGAAAAGAAGCCAAGTTGGATCCATGCCTTCCTGATAGGAGGTTAGCAGGATCATCTTCATTTACCATGTGGAATACAGTGCACCGATATGTTTCCATTCACGTAAATATTACATCAGTTAATTGATTTAGAAAAATGTCATTCCAGATTTTTGTAATGGGGGGCAGGGAGAAGAGGGGAATTATAGTTAAAGATTAAAGACTACCCCAAGAAAGAAAACAAAAAGTTGTTACTTAAAATAGATCCAGAATGACACCATGCCAGAGTTACATCAGCATAGCATTGCAGCATGCTGCCTGTGAGCCAGTCACAATGGACAGTGAAGAATTCGATTTAAACTTCTTGCAGTTTGAGCCATGTCACACATGTGGTTATCTCAGCCTTCACTAGCTGTTTGGATCTGACAATACAATTATACAAACACTGGAGCAAGCCTAAACTGAAGCAGAAACAGAGAAGTTAGGAAAAACATACTGATGGTATACTGGTCATTTAAAAACAGATTCAATAAATGAATAGGTATAAATTATTTCTAATGTGTACATGTGGCGGGGGGGGCTGAAGCATCTAACAATGACACTGTATTTCCACTGGCACATCCATCAAAAGTTGATTCCTCAAGCACTTTTTGGTATCCATAAATTGTCATGGTTGATGCTTATTTCTTTGCCCTACAATCTGTCTTTTATTAAACAGTTTTGGTTTGGGGAATTCTTTGCTGCTGGCGGGAAGACCTCATGCATGCCCTAGGGTGTTGTAACAGCACATTAATGCAATATTTCATTAATCAATGGCACCACAGACATATACTATTTTAAAAAGAAAACAACTGCAAAACTCACATCTGTGTTGTATGGGCAAGTAAGATTCTGACTTGGCGAAATGTCACATTCCAAATTCCGCTATCCTGAAACAAATCCAATTTGTGCACTTTATGTCAACAACAGAAAACACTGATTGAGCAAAGGTAATGTATTTATGCATCCGTCATTTATCACCGGAATACATAATGTTAAAAGAATGAGACACAAAGCCAAAGAGAAACATTCATTTAAAATTAATTAGCAAGCTTCCAAAGATACTTATCAAAAGGCTTTGTACAGGCAAAGCTGCATACATCAACCCAATCGATATGACAGGAGCCAAGCCACAACCACTGCAGCTTTGACTTCCTGCCAGGCTGTCACCCTCATGTGGTTCTGTCTTTTATCCAGACGGGGATTGCAAGAGATTATCTGGATAATTTGTAGAAAGCAGATTTCACATTTTACTACTCAAGCCCCAGCTTATGGCTGCTCTGCTCTATCCTTTAAGCACAGGCTGGGACTTGGGCCACAGAGGGGCTGCTTTTCCAGTGAGGTCAGTTTACCTGCCCCACTGCCCTATACTACACCAGAGGTTGTGTGCAACAGAATAAACGAATACTCTGAAAATCTGAGACAAAAATACAGTGCCTTCAAACAGCAGTCTATGGGACACATGCCTGGTAAAACTAATGATGTTCCATTTTCAGTGTAAGAAAACAACCCAAAGATAAAAATACATGGACAGCAGGTGGGGAGCATAGTTTTTTATTTTATGAAACTCACTCATCTTCTACCAGAAAGCCCTGTATTATTTGAACTCCATGGTAATAACTCCTTCTTTCTTTTCTTTTAAGATTTATTTTATTTATTTGAAAGAGTTACAGAGAAAGGTAGAGAAAGAGAGAGAGGTCTTCCATCCACTGGTTCACTCCCCAGATGGCTGCAACAGCTGGAGCTGTGCCGATCCGAAGCCAGGAGCCAGGAGCTTTCTCTGGGTCTCCTATGCAGGCACAGGAGCCCAAGGACTTAGGCCATCCTCCACTGATATCCCAGGCCACAGAAGAGAGCTGGATTGGAAGAAGAGCAGCTGGGACCAGAACTGGTGCCCATATGGGATGCCGGCACTTCAGGCCAGGGCTTTAACCTGCTGCGCCACAGCACCAGCCCTGAAATAACTCCTTCTATTTGCCATTTCTTCTTCTCAAAATTTCTCTCTCTACCTTCTGGAACCCTTTGTGTTGTTGTTGTTACTGTTCTTATCTCCATGGCACATCTGTTCCTATATCATTCTAAGGATAATCCCTCTACTTTTGCAATGAATTTGGGCTCCACACATTGTTGAGGACCTTCTTTTTATCAAGTGTCTCTACAAGAGATTTAAGAGGGCTGTGGAGTCTTTGCTACTTCTCCCACTGAGAGGCAGCATCTGGTTCCTTTCCTCTTGGATCTGAGCTGGCTCTGGGGACCCAAGTGACCAATAGGCTGTAATGAAAGTGATGCTCTGGAATTCCAGGCTGGTAGTTATCAGAAGCCTTTTCATTTTGCCCAGACTTCCTGGAACCCTGCACTGGGAGCTGTAAGCCACTAGTAAGAAGTCAGGCCACCCTAAGAGATTGGTGAAGCCACATGCAGGTTCTCTTGTCAGCAGTTCTAGCTCAACACAGCCTTCCAGCCATCCCCACTAATGCACACAACCATGTACCCAAAGGCTACTGAGCCTCAATAACACATGAAACAGAAGAATCAACCTGCTGAGCATTGCCTCAATCCTAGTCCTATGCAATCCCGAGATATCATCAAATGGTTGTTATTTAAAGCCACTAATTTTAGGGGTACTATACCCCCTACCCTTTACCCAGTGTTTTGCTTTCTATGATTTATGTCACCTGTGGACAACTGTGGTCTGAAAATGTTAAATAAAAAATTTCAGAAATAAATAATTCTTAAGTTTTAACTTGTGTGCTACTCTGCATACATCATTTACCTCACTTCATTCCATCATGACAGCACTGAACCATCTCACATCATCAAAATAAGAGTGCACAGTACAGTAACATATTTTGAGAGAGAGACCATATTCACATCTTTGTTACAATATATTGTTACAATTGTTATATTTTATTATTGTTGCTAGCCTCAAACTGGATCTAATTTATAAATTCAAATATATCATCGGTATGGATGCCCTGGAAAAAAAACATAGCATACATATATAGGTTCAGTACTATCTGCTATTTCAGATATCCATGGGTGGGTACTTGAACATATCCCCCACAAGTAAAGGGGGGATCACTGTAGTTTGTTATACAACCATAAATATAATGGAACAGGACTCCCTCTTACTTTTATGTTGTCCTCTTTTTTAAAAAAAAATTGTCTTCTATCTATAAATCAGCTCAGCTTTTCTCCGTGTTAAAAATCTTCCATCGAGCTTACATGTTATACAATAAATCTCTGCTCCCCTCAATGGTAACCATCTTCAAAAGACCAGTCCATACCCACTGCTTCCACTTTCTCACTTCCTACTCTTTAAACACATAACAATCTGGCTTCCACAACCTCCATTCTAAAATGGCAGAATGTCAAAGTTAAAAAGGACCTTAAACGCCATATTCTCCAGCCATCTGTCCTCCTTGAATTCCACCCCTACCCTTCTACCCCTAAAAGGTCCTTTTTAGTAGTGGTCTCAACAATTCTGGGACACCTCAAGGGACATGACACGGGTACCACTCAGGGATACTCACTCTGTCTTTCAATATCTTCACTTGCCAGATGTCCTCCCTGATTCTGCACAGAATTCTGTGCCTTTCAAGCTTCCATCCATTGGTTCTGGGTCTCTTGCTGCTAATTACTTAGGTAAAGTCTAATCTCTCCAAGTTGGAAACACTTGCAACAGCCCAGGTAGGGCAGGGATTAGGGGTTGGTGCTGGATGGTAAAGATGGAGAGAAGACAATATGGTTCACAGTTCTTACAGTCTAAGACATTTTAATATTGCTGCATCTTAAAAAAATCAGTGTGGGAAGTCCCAGAGTGGATCTCACAATCACTTTTTCTTTCTATGATGTAATTTAACTTAGATCTTGAGCCACCATTCCATTTGGTCATGGGAACCATGGAGACATACAGAATGTATAGAATGTACAGATAGCACAGCCTGGTGGTTTGGACTATGGATGGTGAAGTCAGACTCCCAGGGCTGGAATCCTAGCTGCGTTACTCTCTAGCTACATGACCTTCAATAACTTTGCTACTAAAAACTACGGCCACTTCTAGGAAACTCATTCATGTTCAGTTATTTTACAAGCACAGGACTTCTTTTTTTCCTGGGATCATATCTAAATTCTAGGAAAGCTTGTACATATGCTGGCATCAGAAGATGGACATCTGGCCCCTTATCCTCTCATTCCTGCTCTTCTCTGTTGGGAATTTTCACACTACCATCCCCGCTTTTGCTGCTGACGCTGATTCTGCTGATGTAGAATTCACCTCAAATGCCAGTGTTCCAGCATCAGAATACCAACACCCTCTAACCCCCTCCCAGGGGAGCCTTTGGGGACCCAGCTACTCTTAAGATGCTGCCTTCATGGGACTCCAAATCCCATTAAGCTGGGTGGTAATAATGCCATCTTAAGTGTTAAAGTGATCATAGTAAGTGTTAAATTCATCATATAGATAGGATTAAGTGTTAAAGGGATCATATATATAAGATCAAGTGTCTGGCAATAACAATACATAGAATTTAAAAGGAGAGAATGTTCCAACATGGGAAGCAGACCACACAGCAGACTCATAGAATGACAATCGCTCTAAATAGTACTATGACCTCAGAATCAGCCCTTAAGGCATTCTGGTCTAGATGAAAAGCCCATGAGAGCATTTCAGGCATAGAAAGCCAAGACACTGTGGCAAAAAATAAAAAACAAAATAAAATAAAAATAAAAAATCCTACATGAAGGATCTCTGTGAGTGAGACCCCAGTGGAAAGAAGTGGCCATCAAAGAAGAAGGTATTTTAATTGTTAAATTAACAACAGGAGAGGCTGGTGCTATGGTGTAACAGTTTAATGCCCTGGCCTGAAGTGCTGTCATCCCATATAGGCATCGGCACAAGACCTGGATGTTCCACTTCCAATCCAGCTCTCTGCTATGGCCTGGGAAAACAGTAAAGGATGACCCAAGTGCTTGAGCTCCTGCACCCGTGGGAGATCCGGAAGAAGCTCCTGGCTCCTGGCTTCGGATCGGCTGAGCTCCAGCCATGGTGGCCAATTGGGGAGTGAACCAGCAGATGGAAGACCTCTATCTCTCTCTGTGTAACTCTGACTTTCAAATAAATACATAAATCTTTTAAATTAACAATAGGAGTCACTGTGCACTTACTCCCCATGCAGTTAATTTTCATAGTTGTAAAACTTATTCTCAGTTTTTATATTTTATGTGTGTGTGTGCAAATTTGTTGAAATCTTTGCTTAGTATAGAGTTCGTCTTCTGTGTATAAAGTTAACTGAAAATGAATCTTAATGGAGAATGGGACTGGGAATGGGAGAGGGGGGAGGAGGTGGGGTGGGAGTGGTGGTAGGAGGGTGGGAATGGTGGGAAGAATCACTATATTCCTAAAGTTGTACTTAATAAATTTGTACTCATTAAATAAAAAGTTTCTTTGGGAAAAAAAAAAACAAGAATCTGCCTTTGTTGCTTTTCCAACCTACCAGAGAGCCCAGCCACTTGCTTCTCTGGGGAGGAGTATCCCAGAAACCGAATAGGTTCCCTGCCATCTGGGGTTTCCATTATTTGCCATCTCCAGGGGCACCAGGGCCTGGAGCAGCTTCCCAGGATCTGGCAGCCTCTAACCTGCAGACCCCCTCCTGCCCGCAGCTTTGTGACAAGTACCTTCTCAGATGCCATCTTCATCCTCCCAGCCTTCTCTTCGGTGGGAGAATCCTCAGGCTTTGGTTCTTGATATGCAAAGCAAACCTTCAACAATTTTTTGTTTATGTTTGCTTAAAAAATAAACCTGTCTTACATTAAAACAAAACAAACAAAACAAAAACCAGCCCCGTCTCCCAATTATCCTTTATAAATTGCATGACCCAATTTTAGAAGTCAATAGCCAAGAATTTGCCTGCTTTCTGCTATTAGCCTGTCCCTGAAGTCAAAAGCCTCAGGGACATGAGGTAAGAAGGAATTACCAAGAAGAAAAAGAGCATTGGTTATAATTTTAAAAGACAGCCCAACTATAACTACACTTGATTTGCTAGTACTTACTTTATTCTTGAAAACTGTTATTAAATTAAATTGGTGGTATATCTTACATCAATGACACAATAGCAATGAGTGGAAAAAGAAGTTCAGAGGTACTTTCTGAGCAACATGGTGTAACATAGTGGTTAAGACGAGAGCCAAACTGCTTGGATTTAAAACCTCCTTTGCATTAGCAGGGATCTGTGAGCAACTAAGTTCCCATACCTCAATTTCCTGATTTGTTAAATAGTAACAATAATAATAACTAGCTCCCAGATTGTTAGAAGAGTTCAGATTCGTTGAGAATTTAGCATAGTTCTGGTGCAAAGTAAGTGCTGAAGCTGCACTGGTTGTTGTAATGATGCGCTGGATGTGAGTGAATGTATAGGAAAGAGGTAAGGATACCTCTATTAATCAGATTTACAACTAACTTGCTGATTTCTGCCATGGAACTAGAACCAGATTCTCTTTCTTCCAAACCACCATGACTTTCTAGTGAACACAGACTCATAAGGCATGGATAAAATGCCAGTCTAGCCTAATTCCATCCTCACAAAGCCTAGTGGAAAAAAAAAAGGAAAGAATCCCCAGCTCCTCATCCTGTGCAGGAGGAGTAAAGGGTGGGAGAGATGTCCATTCCTGTGGACTTTTATCTGGTTAAGAGCAGTATCTACATCTTTTGGGTGACTTGCTGGGTCCCCTCTATTTATGGTGCCTTTTGGGACTGTCACCAAATGTGGTAAGGCTCAAAGAGGTTGGCTGCCAAGCATAAGTAGCCCACAAAATCCTTTAATATATATAGCTTAGAGTCAACCACAAATTTGAATTTAACACTAGCACTGGTGCCTAAGTCATACTGCCAGATTGCAAAGAAATCACATCAGAAAGCTTAAGTTTTAAGGCTCCATACTTCAGCTGCTTTATGAAACAGTCCAGGGGCTGAAGAACATTTCATGAAAAGCAGTATTGTCCTATGGACCTTTTGCAAACCAAATGATTCACTTTACAGCAAGGTTGATAGTAGTGATACAAACTGAGAAGGAAAACAAGTTAAGGAGGGAAATGGGGATCCAAATTTCAGTTTGGGATGTGTCACATGTGAAATGTCAGTGCGAGATCCACATAAGATACAGAGTGGGTCCAAGCCTCAAATATAAACGTGGGAGTTCTGTGGTCTAGGGTTAGGTAAAACCATGGAGTAGGAAGAAACCCCTCCAGGAGAGATTTTAGGAAAATAGGAGGATCCAGTGTTGGTCTAGGAAATAGGTAATATTTATAATATGTACATGTTCAGTAGGAGGTTCTTGCAAGGCAAATGAAGAAGCTCTGGCTTTCAGGGACCAAAAACACAGAGTTCCAAGGAAGAGAGAGTTGCCAGCTGGGTCAAAAACCGCTTGGAGAGTCAAGAGAAGTGGGAATTTTAAAAAGTATCCATGGACTTGGTCGACATAGTGGTCACTGGCAACTCTACAGAGTGTCAGTGGTGTGACGTTGCAAAATTCAGTATCAAAGTGAGTTAAACAGTGAGTGAGGTGTCAGGCAACAGAGACATTTTGGGTTAACAACACTCCAAAGAAGTTTAGGATGAAGGAGAAAGCAGAGAGGGAGCAGGGACCAGTGGGCTCTGTAGGGATAAGTCAGTGCTGAGAAGTGAGTAGAGGGGAGGGGAAGGAAAATACTTTGGGGTTTTCTAAAACATTATTTTGGGGCTGGCGCTGCAGTGTAGCGAGCAAAGCTGCTGCCTGCGGTGCTGCCATCCCATATGGGTGCCAGTTTGTCCCGACTGCTCCACTTCAGATCCAGCTCTTTGCTATGGCCTGAGAAAGCAGTAGAAGATGGTCCAGGTCCTTGGGCCCCTGCAGCCACAAGGGAGACCCGAAAGAAGCTCCTGGCTCTGGGCTTCGGATTGGCTCAGCGGATGGTGAACCAGCGGATGGAAGACCTCTCTCTCTCTCTGCCTCTCCTTCTCTCTCTGTGTAACTCTGACTTTCAAATAAATAAACAAATATTTTTTTAAAATATCAAATCGTATCACCTTTTTTTTTAAAAAAAAGAAGACAGCCCAAGTCCTTGGGCCCCTGCACCCTCGTGGGAGACTCTGATGAAGCTCTTTGCTCCTGATGGGCCCAGCTCTGGCCATTGTGACCATTTGGGGAATAAGCCAGCACATGGACAATCTCTCTCTCTCTCGCTTTTTTTTCTCTCTCTCTCTCTCTGCCTCTGCCTCTCTGTTACTTTGCCTTTAAAATATATGAATAAACCTTTCAAAAAATAAATAAAACATTTATTTTATTTATTTTCATCTACTTGAAAGGCACAGTGACAGACAGAGAGAGAACTCTTCCATCTACTATTTCACTCCCCGAATGCCCGTGACAGCCAGGGCTGGGCCAGGGTGAAGCCAGTAGGTCAGAACTCCATCTGGGTGTCCTATCAAGCAATCAAGCCATCGTCCGCTGCCTCTCAGGACACTTTAGCAGGAAGCCAGACTGGAAGCGTAGAGAATAGTCAGGACTCAAACTGGCAGCCTGATATGGTCTGTGAGCACCCCAAGCAGTGGCTTAACCCACAGCACCTGCAAATTTGTCGCACCAATGACTCACTGTCTTTAATGTCAACTGAAATAATCCTGTTGTTTTCACAATGATGTCTTCATAATATCCATTCCTTATTCTAATACAACTGTTGTGAAAAAGAATCTCTTCCAAAGTATTGAGTTGTGAATTCACCACCAGCTCCAGCTTAAACTCCCAATAGAAGCAGCTGACTACCCACACACCAATCTCTCTGTGTTCCAACCACATTTTGAGATGGACATTTCATTTTGAGTCTCACCAGTGTCTCAAAACTATAGGTCCCTATAAAAAGTACCAATTTTTCCAGTCATGTCCTCTTTCTTCCCCCATTTCCTTTAATGTGACATTTAGAAATTTATAGTCAAATCCACATCCCCCTTTCTTGTCACCAGGAAACCATGTCAGGTTCTCTGGCTTGGTACCTTCTTCTTGGTGGTCCCTTCACCAGACCACTCTCCTCACCACTCCATCTGGAATCCACCAGAGCCTTTCAATTTGATGTGATTTCCCAGTATTTCCTCACTCATTTTTGTATCTGTTGCATCACAAAATGAGATGTGGTAGCTGTTCATTAAAATTTTGTCGAATTGACTCAAAAGAAAATTGCTAATGAATTTTTTAGGTAAAAATGAGTATTCTAGGTATATGCATGCAGAATAAACAATACAGCTGAAACTTAAGAAAATATTTAAGTGAAGTATGGAAATAAGTTCAAATGAGCATCAAGGCTTAGCCAAAATCTATTTTTGTTTCTTAGGACAAGCATTTAACTTTTTATTATGGAGTATTTCAAATATACTTAAAAACAGAAGGACCAGCTTGACCATGAAGCTATCATCCAGCTTCAGCAATGAGCAACATTTTCCTGCTATAATTTCATCTACTTCTCATCCCCCTCTCTGGAGTATTTTAAAACAAACTCCAGAATCCTATTATTTCACTTATATATACCTCAGCAAATATCTCTACTGCATGAAGTTTTGCTTTATAATTTAATCACATGTCAAGCCTAATGAAATTAATTCTAATTATCTAATATGATTCAATATCTAGTCTTTGTTAAAATGGCTTCATTATGTTGCAATTGTTTAATTGATTTAATAGTTGCAGTCTATTTTCAAGCAACTTAGTGAAACGTACTAACTCTTGATTCTTTTAGTACATGCACTGGAAAAGATTAAGGAGAAACAAGAATGTCAATTTCTAATTTCTTTGGTTCATTTTCTTGCTTTTCCTGCTCCAGCTGTTTTGGATTTCTCTCATTTGCATGTTTATCAAAGAGTAGAAAGAGAAAGGTGTGGCAAAGCCTGCTATTTGTCTCACATTATCTCTCATCCCCTTTTTCTATAAAAACAGACACATTGGACTTGAAGAAGTCATTTGTAAGACTCTTGTGCAGTTAAGATGGACTTGCAACAATGCAACATTTGAGCAAAAGCCACATGCACAATTCTGGGGTCATGTCTTAAACTGGAAAGAAGCTTGTCCTCTCCTCTCTTTTACCTCTTCCTAATGGTTTAGATACAGATGTGATGTGGTTAGCCATTTACTGCCATGCCTAGAAGATGTAGATGCAACCAGATAAAGAGCTTGGCACCCAGATGAACTCATGCCAAAGAGTTGGCCTGCCAATCTACAGACCATCGATTTTTAAACTACTGTTATTTTGTATCTGTTACAACAGCTCTTATGGTATATTATTAAGATAGAAACCAAAATTCAACAACATTGGGATTGTAATTTTCTAACAAATGAATGAGAGTTTCTGTTCCAATTACAGATAATCAAATGGTGCTTGCATTATTTCCAACTATTATTAGCTGTAATGCTATCTTA